ACATAATAACGGGCTTGGGCATTTTTGTTTACAGAATAATGGTTGGTGCATCGCTGTTTACAGAGTAACGGGTGAGGTGTTTTTGTTTACGAAATAACGGGTGGGGCGTTGTTGTTGTTTACAATATACATAATTCGGGAAAAACATTTCTATGCCTAATTCTATTAGTGATTTCAAACAGCAATATACAAGTATTATATCATTGCGCTTCGCTTCTGTTGGGTACGTGATAGATTTCCTTATCGCCGCCTCGAGACGTAATTACTTTCGGAAGCTCTTGATGAAGAGTTGGTGAGCCTGTGGATGTTCCGGTGCCAGTTATAGGTAAAACCTTTGAAACCCAATTGTGCGACTTTCTGTCAGCACCCGAGGGTACCATTCTATTATCAGTTAGAAAATATAGCATGTTACGAGTGCTACGTGCGTGGTTTTTTATGGATATATTTGCGTGTTTGCGTGTATATATATATATATATATGTGTGTGTGTGTGTGTGTGTGTGTGTGTGCGCGCGCGTGCGTGCGTGCGGGCGTGCGTGCGTGCGTGTGCGCGTGTGTGCGTGTGAGCGTGCGTGCGTGTGCGCGCGCGTGCGCGCGTGTGTGTGCGCGCGTGTGCGTGCGTGTGCGAGCGTGCGTGCGTGCGTGCGTGTGCGCGTGCGTGCGTGTGTGCGTGCGTGTCTGTGTGCGCGCGCATGTGCGCGTGTAATCTAGTCCTGCTGTGACAGGTCTGCGGGCTTCTTTCTGATATGTGATGTGACACAAGCATCAGATATCTGTTACCGTGTGATCTACGGTGTGATTTCAAATGTATAAAATATCCAGTGGGCTGTTTCTTACATATTATTGGAACAATAAATTAAAACCTAAACGGAATATATTGATATTATGAGTCACGAGTGTATGTTCACATTGAACAATATAGTAAAATAAGAAGTATAATGCAGCAATTTAACCATAAAAAGTGAAAAAAAAAATTTATTTTTACCATTTACGGTGACGTAATCACTTTAAATGGATCTGTGCGAACGTAACTTTCTAAGCTTCGATGCCTGATAAAATAACGGATTCTATACAAGGATATAATATTGTTATACACGGAGCTAATCAACGTAATAATTTGATAGCTATATTACTGTATATATGAATTCGTATAAGATATCGTATAGTAAAATTGTATTAATATATAAACATGAGCAAACCCAATATGCGATAAAAAGCATAATTCATCAACCAATAATCCGTCCGTCCACCAGATCGTCTGTCCGTCCGTGTTTCTATTTGTCCACCTTTCTTCCTGTCTGTCTTTAGCGAAAGAGCACCATGTAATTCTTTATTAAATTCATTCATGTCATTTTGAGCAAGGGTGAATTAATTCGGGCGAATTCTATCTATCACATACAAACACCCAGAAGCGTACGAGCAAATTTAATTATGCAATTAATCGCGCAATTAAGTGATGTACACCCAACCCGATGTTTTAGGTCTCGTATTTAAATCTCCTTGTTGTCCGGCTGTTCACTATGAAATCAGCGGCTGTTGTATCTTGTCTATACTCATCACGCCTCTATAACGACTATGGATTTGTTGAAGAACAATGATTAGCTTCTAGATCTTCTAAATCAAGATTAGAATAGAAAGCGAGTGTTGCCATAGTGCCCGTGCGCGTGTGTGCGTGCAATGGTTTGTATACGTGCGTGTGTTCGTGCGTTCTTGTGTGCGAGCGCGTGTGCGTGCATGCGCGTATATACATGTCTCTCGGTGTGTGCGCATGTGCCTTTGCAGGTGTGTGCACAGGTGGTTGTGGCGTCCGTGCGCGAGTGTGTAGGTGTGTGCGTGCGCGTATGTGTGCTTTCGTGCGTACGTGCGTTAGTGTGCGTGTACGCGAGCGTCTTATTCTAAGCCTAGACATTCGAACGATATAATGCGGGCATCAAACCATCGTTTCAGATGTATATCAAATGGGTTCAAGCAAGTGAGTAGCTAGTAGCTACAGTTGTGAAGTTTAGAACGACCGATATTTCGAGTAGTTGGTTACCGTTTCTTTTCATATATACACACAAAGTGCAGTGTAGACTGGAGTCGTGTTAACGTAATCTTTGATCTTTGATCTTTGATCTTTGATCTTTGATCTTTGATCTTTGATCTTTAATCTTTGATTCGACCAGTGTTTGTTCGTGCCCAGATGTGTGGCTTTATTTGGGCGAACATCGGGCTTCAAAAGTTTTCTATTTCGATTACATACGCGAACAACTCAATACAGTAAAAACCCGCGTATAAGAACATAGATTTTTCCAAGTTAGCCTCAATATGTTCTTATGTAAATGGTGCTTA